CCACCCGAGCCGGCCCAGTGCCGTAAGTGCCACGCCTGCCACGCAAAGTGAAGGTCAATGTCGCCAAGTGCCACGCCTGCCACGCAAAGTGACAATCGATGTCACCAAGTGCCACGCCTGCCACGCAAAGAGCCGCGGTGGCCACGGCGTCATTTGGGAACCCGGCGCGCCACCAAAGCCGGCCCAGTGCCGTAAGTGCCACGCCTGCCACGCAAAGTGAGCGTCGATGTCACCAAGTGAAGATACATGTCGCCAAGCGCCACGCCTGCCACGCAAAGTGAAGGTCCATGCCGCCAAGTGCCACGCCTGCCACGCAAAGTGACAGTCGATGTCACCAAGTGCCACGCCTGCCACGCAAAGAGCCGCGGTGGCCACGGCGTCATTTGGGAACCCGGCGCGTCACCAGAGCCGGCCCAGTGCCGTAAGTGCCACGCCTGCCACGCAAAGTGAGCGTCGATGTCACCAAGTGAAGATACATGTCGCCAAGTGCCACGCCTGCCACGCAAAGTGAAGGTCCGTGTCGCCAAGTGCCACGCCTGCCACGCAAAGTGACAGTCGATGTCACCAAGTGCCACGCCTGCCACGCAAAGAGCCGCGGCAGCCACGGCGTCATTTGGGAACCCGGCGCGTCACCAGAGCTTGCCCAGTGCCGTAAGTGCCACGCCTGCCACGCAAAGTGAGCGTCGATGTCACCAAGTGAAGATACATGTCGCCAAGTGCCACGCCTGCCACGCAAAGTGAAGGTCCATGTCGCCAAGTGCCACGCCTGCCACGCAAAGTGACAGTCGATGTCACCAAGTGCCACGCCTGCCACGCAAAGAGCCGCGGCGGCCACGGCGTCATTTGGGAACCCGGCGCGTCACCAGAGCCGGCCCAGTGCCGTAAGTGCCACGCCTGCCACGCAAAGTGAGCGTCGATGTCACCAAGTGAAGATACATGTCGCCAAGTGCCACGCCTGCCACGCAAAGTGAAGGTCCATGCCGCCAAGTGCCACGCCTGCCACGCAAAGTGACAGTCGATGTCACCAAGTGCCACGCCTGCCACGCAAAGAGCCGCGGTGGCCACGGCGTCATTTGGGAACCCGGCGCGTCACCAGAGCCGGCCCAGTGCCGTAAGTGCCACGCCTGCCACGCAAAGTGAGCGTCGATGTCACCAAGTGAAGATACATGTCGCCAAGTGCCACGCCTGCCACGCAAAGTGAAGGTCCATGTCGCCAAGTGCCACGCCTGCCACGCAAAGTGACAGTCGATGTCACCAAGTGCCACGCCTGCCACGCAAAGAGCCGCGGTGGCCACGGCGTCATTTGGGCATAAATGCATCGTTTCGTGTGTGCCATCAAATCGTGAATCTCTATAGTGTAGTGTAGTGGAGTGTAGTGGGGTGTAGTGCAGTGGAATGTAGTGAAGGTGTAGTTGTAGTGTAGTGTACTGGGGTGTAGTGTAGTGTAGTGGGATGTAGTGTAGTGTAGTGTAATGTAGTGTAATGTAGATGTAGCGTAATGTAGTGTAATGGGGTGTAGTGTAGTGTAGTGGAATGTAGTGTAGTGTAATGTAGTGTAGTGTAGTGGAGTGTAGTGTAATGTAGATTAATGTAGTGTAGTGGAATGTAGTGTAGTGTAGTGTAGTGTCGTGTAGTGTAATGTAGTGTAGGTGTAATTGAGTGTAGTGTAGTGCAGTGGAGTGTAGTGTAGTGTGGTGTAGTGTAATTGAGAGTAATCAGAGAGTAATTGAGTGTAATTGAGTGTCGTGTAGTGAAGTGGAGTGTAGTGTAATGAAGTGGAATGTAGTGAAGTGGAGTGTAGTGTAATGAAGTAGTTGTAGTTGTAGTGTAGTGTATTGGAGTGTAGTGTGGTGTAGTCGTGGTTGTAGTTGAAAATGCTACAAAACCCTCACGTTTTGCTCACTTCTGACAAGGTCCACTGCCACGCGAAACGACATCTGAACCTCCAGAAGTGGTCCAAACCCCTGGTGCGTTTTGTACATTTTGACTTGGAAATGTGCTTCGCACCACAACGGCGTGCACTTTTTCGACATCTCAACTTCCAAAAGTGGTCCGATCCTGGTGTGTTTTGTACATTTTGACTTGGAAATGTGCTTCGCGCCACAAAGGCGTAAACTTTTTCGACATCTCAACTTCCAAAAGTGGTCCGATCCTGGTGTGTTTTGTACATTTTGACTTGGAAATGTGCTTCGCACCACAAAGGCGTAAACTTTTTCGACCGCGCAACTTCTAAAAGTGTTCCGAAGCTGAAGTGTTTTGTACATTTTGACTTCGAAATGTGCTTCGCGCATCTTCGCGCCACAACGGCGTGCACTTTTTAGATTTTAGACATCTAAACTTCCAAAAGTGGTCCGAACCTGGTGTGTTTTGCACACTTTGACTTGGAAATGTGCTTCGCGTCACAACGGCGTACACTTTTTCGACAGCGCAACTTCTAAAAGTGTTCCGAAGCTGAAGTGTTTTGTACATTTTGACTTCGAAATGTGCTTCGCGCCACAACGGCGTGCACTTTTTAGACACCAAAACTTGCAAAAGTGGTCCGAACCTGGTGTGTTTTGCACACTTCGACTTGGAAATGTGCTTCGCGTGCTTCGCGCCACAACGGCGTACACTTTTTCGACATTGCAACTTCCAAAAGTGGCCTGAACATGTGGTGTTTTGAAATTTTGACTTGGAAACGTGCTTCGCGCCACAACGGCGTGCAATTTTTCATCTCTCATCTGGCCAGCTGGCTCCGCACCCGCTGCTTTAGCGAGCCTACTTTTCGACCCTCCGGAGCCACAAATCATTGGAAAAAACAACGTTTCGCGACTTTCCTACCTTTTCGCGCACCTGGATCTTCTTTCTTCTGAGACTTTCTCTTTTTGATCTTCTTTCTTCTTCTCTTCTCTTCTCTTCTCTGACTCTTCCCATCTCTGCTTTTCATCTGTCCATATTGTCGGAAGTTTGACTCCTAAACTTTCTTCGACAACTACCGCTGCATTGCGCTACACTACACTCCAAACCACAACTCTCCACTACACTACACTACGCTACTCTCATTCCACTACACTATACTCTACTCTGCACTACACTACGCTACTAGCGAAGGGTTTAAGTCACATCAGTTGGGCAGAAGTCACATCAACCCCATGTAACAGCGAGTTGGAAGAAAGTCACATCAACTGGGCAAAAGTCACATCAAAATATCAAAATCCCAATGGCACACCGGCTTTCAAGGAATGTTGTTATATCTCCAAAAATGAAGAAAACATTGCGCACACTGAGGTATTCACATATGTTTAAACTATGTTTTCAAAGGATATATTTAGGAATCACCATGGCACACGGCCTCCCAGATCTTTAACTTTGTTTCCTAACAAACATAGATTTCCATGTAATAGCTATGGGCAACATCATCATATCAACAACGTTAAAATCTGAAAACCCAGTGGCACACCGCTGTCAACATCCGCTTCTGCTTGAATGTTTCATAAGTTCTGCCTTCTGTAAACATTCCCTCTCTCTGCTTGCGTCTCCCGCCCGTATCTCCCGCCAGCGCCAAACAAGGCGACCGAGACTGTAATTTTCTTTTTCGGCGAAATGTTTGCACCAGCGGCAGCAGCAGCAGGAGGAAGCAGCAACAGCAGCAGGAGGAGGAGGGAGGAGGAAGCAGCAGCAGGAGGAGGAAGCAGCAGCAGCAGCAGCAGGAGGCAGCAGCAGCAGCAGCAGGAGGCAGCAGCAGCAGCAGGAGGAAGCAGCAGCAGCAGCAGGCGGAAGCAGCAGCAGCAGGAGGCAGCAGCAGCAGCAGCAGCAGCAGGAGGCAGCAGCAGGAGGCAGCAGCAGGAGGCAGCAGGAGGCAGCAGGAGGCAGCAGGAGGCAGCAGGAGGCAGCAGCAACAGCAGCAGCAGCAGGAGGCAGCAGCAAGGAGCAGCAAGCAAGCAGCAAGTAAGCAGAAAGCAAGCAGAAAGCAGCAACCAGCGTTTGCCCCGTTGAAAGAATAATGAAAAATAATATAAATTTTACAAATCAACGCAATACAAAAATTGAACTTTTTCTAGGCGCACGGCCCCAAAACAATGAAATCGTCCAATTACTAAAAGTTGTGGTGATGCCAAACTTGAACTTTTTCCAGGCGCACGGCCTCCCGATACAACTTCTACAAGCTGATACGACTTAACGCTAGGGCTAGTAGGGTCAAATAGAATCATGTCAACAAAACATTGCGCCCAGCGATGAAAAAGTGTTCGAATCAATAACCCATCAAATAAAGAACTATCAAAATCTATACGAAACACTGCGCGCACGCAGGTGTGATACGACTTCAGGTCGATTGATACGACTTAAGCCTAGTGGTAGTAACTACAACTACAACTACATTACACTAATTACATTACACTACCTACACCACACTACACTACACTAACTACAACTACAGCTACTACTACAAATACGCGACTTTACACTACACTAGACGACACTACACTGCCCTACGTTACATTACACTACACTCATTACACGACCACAAATGCAACTGCAACTACACTACACTAATTGCACTACAACACAACTACAACTCCATTACACTAGAACTACAACTACAGCTGCGCTACACCACACTACATCCAGCAGTTGTGGGTGAGGTGACCACTGCAACCATTGCATCCATTTCAGCAAACACAGCTCCAACCACCTTTCGGTCCATCAGTGGATTCGCTCTGCCATCCGTGATTCACAACAACCAAGCTCTCCTTTAGGTTTCCTATTCTGAAACTTCCTCCACCGCCTTGTGCGGTACTACTGGCACATGGTAACATATGTGTTATATATGGTAGCATATGTACGAGTTTATAGACACGAATAATAGCATTCGGCCGAGATTGCCTTGAGATTGCAGAGGCTTGCTAAACGTAATCGGCTCAAGGAATCTTAGTTGCAGCAAGATGCAGCGAGGGCCAATTTTGCACGTCTTGGCATATCTTTACCGCATTTTTGTGCGCGCTTGGACTCTGCAGTCTGTCCTCCTCTTCACAGCAGCACTTGTAGTTAGAAAGAAAGTGGTGCCATCCTCTGATTCCTGGTGTAATGTCTGGATGTGTCTGCTTGGCCACCAGGAAAATTTGACGCAAACTGCAAATAAAGCATTCTCAACGGACTCAACTACTGTCTTTTGGAACTTACTGTCATGGAAATATGCTGCTGAGTAGACACTGGAGCTGACAAATCTCTCGAAGGCAGCTCAGTTGTGAAAATGATTGTACAAGTTGAAACCCCATTGCTATCAGAAGGGCCTGTTGATGCATCTTGGGTAACCGGAAACCATACTTGCTGTACCAGCCTCCTCAACTTTCCCACTCTGGCAATCTGAATTCATCTCTTAATGACAAGCTCAGCAAGCTCCTGCTTGGCATCTGGATCAGGCTCACCCGCCTTGGGGAAATACGGAAATACATCCATCAACCAGTGGCGGAAGAATATTCTCAACATTTCTCAACCGAGTGTGGTATTTGATTTCTGTCTCGCCAATGTGCCTGAACAACAGCCCTGCATCAAAATCTGAATCTACATTCACACGGCTGGCAGTGTGGTCTGGCTCGTGCCTTTTCAGTGTTTCTCTAATGTGTTTTTTGACTTTTATGTTTTGCTCACGTTTTCAATGACCTTTTGCCTTTTTCCATCTGTGTCTATATTCTCTTGGTCAAAGGTGACACAATGGAATCCAAATGTAAATTTCTGATCCTGGATCCTTAGTCCACAAGGAATTCACTACATGAAACCAGTCAACATAATAGCCAATAACAGCACAAAAGCGAGGAGTTCACAGGCACTGTATCAAGTGAGACTGCACCCTGGGGCTGACCTGTCCCACGAATGACTCGCTGATGTGTACAAAAATCATGAACAGCGACAGGACATTCTCATTGTCATATGAACGATGCAGCAAGTTTGCGGAAGTGCGCGGTGGTACCGCATTGAATTGGTAGGATGATATACGCTGATTGTTCGACTTCGTAGTCTAGTCAGTTTAATCCATCGCAGCTCAAATGCATGTACGAGATCGCAGCATCTCAAGATCACTTTTGCTCGCAAAAGTGCCTTTGTAGTCATGAGACATGCGGATTTTTTCATGTTTAAGGTCTGCTGTAGGCTGCTTCGGGATCAGTAATTCAATTCCTGCTGCCACCGTTTTCCAAGTGTGGCGTTGCAAAGGCATATGCCCGAAAAAGAACCGTATGTCGCGCAGCTCTCGAAACTAATCATCTTACAGTCCTGGCACCTCATCTCTCGCCTATCTCACTACCAGCCATGTTGCTGAAATTGGCAATGACACGTTACGACAAATAATTTGTCGCATCCTTCCTTAGGTTTGCCTCCTAAGAACCGCCGTCTATATCTTCACATATTTTCACAATGCCACCTTTCTTTTATGACCAAAGAACTGCTATCTGCTATCAACTCTTAGGACGCCACAAATAAAACGAAAATAACATGTGGAACGAACTCTACAACATCATGATTAATGTTTGCACCCGATTAGTGTCATGGTACCCTATTGTGAGAAATTTCTTGCTCCTAATTCAGTAACATGCTGTTTGTGGGGGGGGCCTCTATTGTGAGTTGTTTTCAGATGTTTTTCCACTTTTTATTTTTTCCAAATGATTTATTGTTTATTGTTTATTTATTATTTGTTTTTATTTTATATATTTATAATGAGGGATGCCTTAAGGGGATACCCCCCTCAACATACCTCAGAATAATAAAAGTATTATTCCGGCACACGTTGGGTTCAAAAAAATATTCCAAGAACTCAATGAGATATATGGAAAATGGAATAATTTCCATCAAAATGATACCGGTATAGTCTATTTCTAGCCAAACGCAAGTGATCGTAAGCAGCTGCGCGCAAACGGCCGAAAACGGTTTCCCTTCTTGCAGAGCTGGGGCACAAATTAAACAATTTTCAACATAATCAGATAGGATCAAGAAGAGTCAGAATAGTATCTTTAAACAAATCTCCTCTCAGCAAGCCACTGGTTGAACATGGTTTTAATTGGTTTTGGATGTTTTTCCAGTTTCTGGGCTAGTTTGGTGGTTCTGGCCTTAGTGGGAATGAGTGGGAAAAGAAAATATTTGGTTGTCACTGGCTATTTTTTTTGCCAATTTTGGATTTGTTGTGTGATTGTAGCAGCTGCCCCCTTTGTTTTTCAGGGGTGCCAGGCATCTCCAATACCTCCAGAATAATTTCTCCCCTGGGGAAAGCCCGCGAAATGGCACCCAACCTGGCTCTCTTCTAGAGGTTTTCCCAACTTTGTTTACGCCCTTCTAGTTCTTCAATATTCCCTGCATTTCCTTCCAAAAAAAATTTGTTGGCCATAATGGGAATGAGTGGGAAATGTTTGGGTTTCATTTGTTTTTTGTTAATTCTTGCCAGTTTCTGGGCTACTTTGGTGATTAGCTGTCCACTTTCGTTTTTGAGGGGTACCAGGCATCTCCAATACCCTAGAATAATTTCTCCCCTGGGGAAAGCCCGCAAAATGGCACTCAACCTGGCTCTCTCCTAGAAGTTTTCCCAATGCGTCCGCCCCCCTATTTCTTCCATATTCCCTCCATTTCCTTCCAAAAAACTCCCGTTGGCCGTAGTGGGCAGTGGGATTTGTTTTTTGACAATTCTTGCTAATTTCTAGGCTAATTTGGTGATTAGCTGTCCACTTTCGTTTTTGAGGGGTACCAGGCATCTCCAATACCCCTAGAATAATTTCCCCCCTGGGGAAAGCCCACACAATGGCACTCAACCTGGCCTTTTCCTGAGTATTTTTCTAACACTCCCTATTCATTGCCACCCAAAGAACTCTCGAGAAAAAGTACCGTGAGAGAAAGGTGGTCCGTTGGACACTAGTTGTGCGTGCAAGTACGCTGCAAAAAAAGGTTGGCAGCAATTGCCCAAACTGCATGATGCCTTAAATAACTGCAATTGGCATTTCCAGCAAAAAGTTTTCAGGCAAACACCGCCAAGTTAGGAATGGCTTTTGGAAAGGCCAGGCCAAATGGAGGACGTATAGGCTGCTTCAAGATGTTTTAAGATGTTTTAAGTTACAGAAAATTATTCCAAAACCTAATTATTCCAGGGTATCTTGACGGGGGGGATCATGATTTTAAAATTCCAACATGCATAATCGTATACCTACCCCTTGAGAAAATTATTCCTTGAACATTTTTCCAAAATAATATTCCATAACCTAGTTGATACCCTGGAATAACTTTTTAAGGCATGAACATTATTTATATTTTAATTTTATTTTTATTTCTATTTTATATTCCGGGACGCAATTTTAGAAGCAATTGCCGGAATTATCGGAGAGCCCTGCTTCTATTTGAAATGGACGTTGCAAACCCCCCAAGTCCCGTTCAAATAGAAGCAATTGGTTTTTCAAGGTCCAAAGCTAAGAATTGCTTCTATTTGAACGAGCCCCTGGAAAATATGCAAAAACACAGGGTTTTTTGAGTTTTGCTGATAAACTATGATAATTTCTCTGGGAAATTGACAAGAATTGTACACTTTCGTGCCAAAATGTGCAAAAAAAAACATGCGTTTTCAACTTGTTTTGAACTATTCAGTATGCATATGTATACATATATATATATATATATAATTATATATATATAGTTTTGAGCTCTGTGGCCAGCCCCAATCCGCAGGGGATCGATCCCAGACCGGGGTCATGGGGTGAAAAAAAGGTGTTGGGGTCGGCAGGGAAACATGTTTTTGGGGAATTTCGTGGTATTTTACAGGAAAAATGCCTCTCCAGTACCAACTCCCGTTCAAATAGAAGCAATTGTTAGTGAATCGGTCTGTTTTACCAATTCTCTATTTGAAACGGACTCGGCTACATATGGACTTGGGCCTGCTTCTATTTGAAAAAAATATTGAATATCTTCTAAAATAGTGTCCCGTAATATATTTTTATTTACTATTGTTTCATTTTTTTCATTGCTTCCTTTTTTATATTTTTTAAAGTTGCTTCCTTTTTCATGAGTTAATTACACTATGAGTGGCTCAGTTGCTCAATAATAATTGTCTGAATGGTACTCTATTGTGAGCACCGACTTTTTGGAGTGAAAAAAAAACAAAACCCTTTCTCCACCTTTCTTTGGGTAAAGCTGGTCTTTTTACTTTAGAAAGCCATATTTGTGTTAAAGCTTTAAAATGCACGGTTTCCGAAAAAATTAGATGCCTTATTAAACCCTTATTAAAAAACAGCATCCAAACAATTTTTCAAGGGGGTACCTCATGAGTGGCTCAGTTACTGAATAATATAATTGTCTGGATGGTACTCTATTGTGAGCACCAACTTTTTGGAGTGAAAAAAACAAAAACCCTTTCTCCACCTTTCTTTGGGTAAAACTGGTCCCTTTACTTTAGAAAGCCATATTTGTTTTAAAGCTTTAAAACGCAAGGTTTCCCAAATAATTAGATGCCTTATTAAACCCTTTTTAAACCCTCAACAAAAACAGCACCCAGACAATTTTTCAAGGGGGTACCTCATGAGGTGCTCAGTTACTGAATAATATAGTTGTCTGGATGGTACTCTATTGTGAGCAGCAACTTTTGGGAATGAAAAAGCGAAACCATTGAAAGCAATTAAAAGTAAATTGAAATTAAATTGGAATCAATTGAAAGTAAATTGAAAGTAAGTAAGTTGAAAGTAAGTTGAAATCAATTGAAAGTAAATTGAAATTAATTGAGAGTAAATTGAAATCAATTAAAAGTAAATTGAAATCAATTGAAAGTAAATTAAGAGTAAATTTAAATAAGTTAAAAATAAATTGAAATCAAATGAAAATAAATTGAAATAAATTAAAAGTTGAGAGTGAATTGAAATCAATTGAAAGTAAAATAAAAGTAAATTGAAATCAATTAAAAGTAAATTGAAATCAATTGAAGGTGGATTGAAATCAATTGAAAGTAAATTGAAAGTAAATTGAAATCAATTGGAAGTAATGTCCACATGGCGTTAATAACCCCCCGACAATAAAGTACGCCAACTCCAGGTAAAAATTAATAAACACCACCCGGAATAAAGTACGCCAACTTGTTTTTCCCGTTTTTTTTCCCTTTAGTATTCGTTTTCAATTAGGCAATTCATTTGTGAATGCTAAAGTTTTTTCCGTTTTTTTTCCCTTTTTTTCCCTTTATGTACTCGTTTTCAATTAGGCAATTCATTTGTGAATACTAAAGTTGTTTTTTTTCTGTTTTTTTTGTTGAGTACGTATCCCACAACCTCCCAGGATAGTACCCAATGAACTGAAGCACACAGCTGCTTGTTTTATCTTGAGCCAAAATATTCAGTCGCTTTACAAATTGAAGTACAGCAGTACAAAAGACAAGACACAACATGACAACATGGAGGGGTGTACAGTGCTATGTACATGTATATTTTTAGCTCCCCCCTCACGCTGAACATGTTGGCCCTTGATGCAATTCCTGGCACTGTAAAAGAGATGCAGTGCTATTTCAAAATAAACTACCGTAGGTCATCCGAAGTCTCTCACGCAAAGTTGGTCCAGCGCTTCGCTCCATTGGATTGGAGGTAGTATCTTGGTCAGAACATTTGCCAGTTGTTGCTTCGTATGGCAATAGCGAAAATCCAAACTGTCCTCCTTTTCGAGCAGGTCGCTGATCGATGCAATGTTTACCCGATGTACGCGATTGCAATGTCTTAACTTCACTGAGGACTTGTTCTGTACGATTCGGATAACCGCCTCGTTGTCTTGTTCAAGTGCTACTGGAACTGAGACTTCGAATAAATGTTGCAACATTTCCTGTATGTGCAAAGTTTCCCCGAATAGAGTTGCAGCAAGAGCGATTGATTCAGACTCAGAAGTGCTTCTCGCCACTGAGCTCTGCTTTTTGGATTGCCAAAACAAAGGGAAAAATGCCTCTCCGGTTTGCACGCCAATAACAATGCCGCTCGTAGATTTGGCCGTCCATGGGCATGATGCGAATGGGCATGATGCGAAGTCTGCATCGCTGTAGGCTCGCACAACGGGACCATGGCTATAAGAGACATTGCCACAACACCTGTATGTATGTGTGTGATGTATGTAACTTACTAGTCTATGCAGCTGTCGATCATCCCAACGGCTCCATCTAGATACATTGGCAGCTAATCGGCATACAATGAAGGAAATGTCTGGTCGTGACAGACGACTCAGCCACAGCAACCTCATTAAGGCTTTGGCTGCGTCTTTGTGAAGCCAACCCTGCTCGTCAGCTTCTTCGTCACTCATGTTGGATTCAGGTAGTGCTGGGGACGGCACAGCTTTGAAGGAAGATTCTGCGATTCCGCAGAGCTCACAGTAGAATTGGACAATGCTCTGAGCATATGAAGTCATTTCAAAGTGTAACTCTGCTCCGTTTTCCTTTTTGAAAAGTTTATGCGTTCTACCCAAAATCAAGGATCCTTGTTCGCTGATGTAAACCTCGGGATCTAGCTTGACATGCTCCCTAAGTTCTTTCCAGAAAGAACTATGAAGATGAGATCTTCCACACAAGGTCAGATCATCAACATAGATGTTCAACAAAAGAGTGTGTCCATTGCGACGAAAGAACCAAATGGATGGATATAATTCGCTTTCAACACCTCCTAATTTTGCCAACCTTTCTGAAAGGTAAGATTGCCACAACTTTCCAGCCAACGGATGACCGTATAGTGATTTCAACAATCTTACAACCAACTTGGTACCTCGAGGATATGTGGCTTTCCAACTGTCTAACCAAAGTTCAAACGGTACCAGGACCCAAGTTTCTTCTTCAAGGCGCTTGAAGGAATGCCTGCACTGCATCCGACAAAGAGATGGAGTTGTTCTCGCATGTCCCGAAGAACAAAGCGAGGTTGAGTGCAACCAAGGCAGTTGGGGTGGTTGCTGTGTCTGCATACAACACCAACTCATCTGATTCATTTCTGATCAAATCACCTCTATATACTATTCTACCTTTATATTTGTGTTGCTCGATGGGTTGTTCCCAATGCTTTACCCCGCAGAGGGTGTGCAATGAAGCAATGTGAACAGTGATTCCAAGTTCTTTGGCTTGGGATTTCAAGTTCCCCAGCACAGTGACTGACTCGTCATCCCATGTCTTATTACCTCGCAAACCTTTTGCTTCATCAAGCACAGCTTGTAGACCCTTTGGATCCTGAAGCCACTCTGAGAGAGACAAGTTCCTGGTCACAAATGCACTAGACGATTCAGACACATTTGGAACAAACTTGAAAGACTGTCGTGGATACAATGCTTCACACAAAACCTCAGCAAACTGTGGTGTGTAGTAAGCTGAAGCCGTGGCATTGGTGCCTTGTGTCGGCTCGTGCTCATGATTCCCTGGACACTGATGCTGACCAAAGTACTGCATGATCCTAAGATCATTCGTAGCAATACACCAAGGCTTCTTCAGGTATTTCTGCTCTCGTCCTTTTAGACCTAGTGAGCACCCATCAAAATGAACATACTTGAGATTGTGTTTGTTCATGAAGGCGATCCATTCCTGTATTTCCCAGAGCCCACTGCTCCTTGGCCATTCGACTGCAATACGACCGTGGTTCTTGATTGCAACTTCCAAGAATTTGACGGCTAAGTTCAACATTTTGATGGTCTTCCTTCTGGATTGTTTTAATTTCTTCCTATATTCGTTCCCATGAATTGCAACATTCAAATGCTGGAGTGGCGAATAGTATGTGCATGTCAGTGAGACGTAGACATCCGCGCCTGGCATCTGCTCGAGTTGGCCAATGGCTTGTTCGACGTCACTTGGTTTCTCAAGGTCTAGCAAGGATCTTGTCAACCGTACAACTTTGATGTCAAGTTGCTCTGCCCTTTGACCAATGATAGAATCATCTGAACATGCATATTCGAAAAGGAAGTCTTTGCCTTTCAGCTCATGCAACCTTCTCGCCTTACCTCTAGCAAGATTTTCTTCAATGAATGCTGCATCAACATCTTGATTGACCTTTCCGATCATGGCCTCTTCTGTACCTGGTGGTATACCTGCACTGAATGGCAAACTGGATGGGTCTACCCTTTCCGTAACATCCTCACCTGCTTCTTCTACCAAGACCGGCGGCAGCGATGGCGTCATTGGAGCAATGGATGAAGGGGGCAATGCAGGTGTTGGAGGCATCGAAACAGCTGGACTCAAGGGCGATCGCTGTCTCCCTTTGGCTGCAATTTTGTCTGCACGAATCAAACCAGTGAATCTTGCTTTGCATGCAGCACTATGAACTCCTCCAGCATTCTCGCAAGCCTTACAACCAGGTGAAGCACCGTATCGAATCAATCTATCTAAGGTTATGTACTCATTCCGTTCTCTAGGTGTCGCACTAGATGGCAGCGATGAAAATGGGACATCAATGTTTGGAACACCTTCCAATTTCAAACCACCAAACTCAGCCAGTGCTGCTTGTGAAGCTGTGGTCAAAGGCATGATTGGGTCACCCTCCGGAATGAAAACCTCTTCAAAAGGAACGCTAAGGGGCATATTATAGCCTGGAGTCTTATCTTGAAGGGATTTATAATCCAACACCAAGTGCACTCCTTTGAAGTGCGGTCCCGTATCGAGTCGATAGCCCGCAAAGATTGCGGGTTTGGCATTTGCTTGGAACTTCTGCTGATTCAAATCACGAACGTAAACAAGCTGACCCAAGAGGATATCCCTGCCCGTCCAAGGTTTGCCTGTCGCAAGTTCCAATCTGGTCACTTCAGAATCTGGTGTCTTATGGAAGCATGAGATCATGAATGCTGCATGCGACACTGACAATGTCCAGAGGTCCTGAAACATGTGGAAACCTGCTTGTAAGTGAACAGCCCGAGTGATTTCTTCTATTGTTCTCAACTCCCTCTCCAACCTGGCATTGTGGCGCCAGCGGTTCTCGAGTGTTGGCTCGTGTTGAAATCCAAGCTGTGAACATGATGCCTGAAATTCATGTGCTCGATCACTCTTAACCATAATGGACGGTTGCTTATGATAACTCGGTCCTAAAAATGCCAAAAGATGCTTATTGATGTTCTCACTGCTTCTGGATCCAAGCGGAAATGCTCGGACAAAACCACTGAATTCATCGCGGACAACAAGGACAACATTGTCTCGACCTTCGGTCCTGGACTTCGAGACAATGATGAAATCACATGCCAACCGTTCGCCAAAAGCAGTAACTTCTGGAAGCATGGGTCTCGACTCAAGCGGATCATGTCTCTTTGAGTTAGTCCGCCTATACGGTACATACGACTCCTTTGACATACTTCACATGTGGGATTCTTAGGAATGTGCAACCTTTTGTGTTCAATCGATGCAGCATCTTGCAAAAGTCTGGTATACCTATCTTTTGGTTCTAGGTCCCCGTCTTCAGAGTCTGCATCACCACCAGGATCATCAACGATAGGAAATGATAGGAACCTCAGGTGGTTGAGGCTCTTCAACGGGCGGTCTATCTCCATGCGCTGCATCAACAGCAGGAAGTCCAAAAGAATATGGTGCCTCGAATTGCATGGTTTCAGAGAAAATTGGAACGTGGTCATCGACTTTGTCGGCCACAAACAACCTTTCTGAATCTGCTGCAAGCTGAACTGCGTTAACATCTAATCCAAAGAAAGGCAGCTGGCCTGGAAGCCACACAAACGGTTTGCCTGACCCTACAATCTGTCCTAACGACCTCACCAAAGGACAGGACTGCATGACATGGAATGAGGCACCACCGAACTTGCTACCGTTTGCATTGATCGATGTATTGCTGTTAACACATCCATTACCAGTTTCAAACTTGACGTTTTGAGTGCTTTGCAGAAACTGATTCAAACTTTGACTTGGGATGCCCTGATCCTGAAAAGCTTTCATGGATGCTAGGTCACGGCCTGCTCCGGAGTCGGCTATCCAAGATATTTCATACACACCCCTTTCAGCATGTTGCGCTATCATAGCGTGTTGGTACGACAAAACGGCAGGCAAACCTTGGGATGCTCCCGAGGGAGCAAACACCGAGGTACTACCATGGAATTGCTGCACGGGGTTGGTCAAACATGTCAAGGCAGCAAAGCACTTGAAGAATGACCGGAATGGTCTAGCACAAGCTACAACAGTATGCTTAAACCTCTCGAAGATGGAAGTTGACCATGAGCTCTCTGATCGAACCTCCGATGCCGATGCCTTTGACAACGACGACGCAACAACTGCGGCGACAGTGGCCTTAGAAGCTGCATTGGAACCTGCTGACCCCCCTGATGCTCCACCCTTTGGGTTTGTTGTTGGTGCACCTTTCGCGGCAGCGGCTGACGCCTTTGGCGCAGCCTTAGGATCATGAGAAAATGGACATTCACTTCCTCTATTACAAGTTCTTTTAGGCCAGAAAATGCATGGAACACTTTGTGTATTTGGCTTGGGCTTTGCCTTCGCTTTTGCAGCTCCTTTACCAGTGCCTTTTCCTTTGGAATCCGGCTTTGCCGGAGCACTTGGGCCATCTTCTCTTCCTTTGGAAGAACCCTTTGGGTTGGTTGCAGGTTTTGGTTTTGGTTTTGCCTTCGGCTTTGCCTTGGCTGCTGCAGCACTTGCTGTAGCATCCTCATCCTCACCTGCTTGTGCAACAGTACCTTTTGACTTTGTCTTGGTCTTTGCCTGTGTTTGCAATGCCGTTCTGATTGACTCTTCGTTTTGGTCCACTTTCATTTCCAACAATGTGGTTTTCAGTTTGTTGAAAAGCCAATCCCAACACCTGACGTGAGACGTTTGTTTGGAATCTTTGATTCTGTCAATGTGTCTCTGCATCAGTCTTACTTTCTTTAACCGTGAGTACAACCATGTATAGCGTGTCAACTCTGATGGCTGCAAATCAGGAGGGATTGAATTGAGAACGGACTCAATGCGATCAACAAAAGTGCGAAGGCCTTCATAAGTATATGAACTGATGTCGAGCTCCAACAAGCTTTGCTGTGTCAGATTAGCTCCACGGCTCAAATCTAAGAAGAATCTCCTGGCTACCATGTTGAGCAAAACCTTCCTAATGGTGCCCTACCCCGCAACTGCTCTTTCTCAGCATAAGCCTGGAATTGCAAACCCAACTCCCCTCGGAGATGTTTGGGCTCCATCAACTGACTGGCAAGGTATGCATCAAGACGAGACATTTCCAGAGAAGTCTGCTCTAAGTACTCTACTGAAACATTTGCTGAAAAGGATTCCAGCAACCAAGTCATGATACGATTCTCACCCGTCTTGTCAATTGAGGCGGCTTTGGTAAGAAAGGAGTTGCGCCAACCACAGAACTGTGCGGCATCGTTGGGGAGTGTTGGCACTGACACTGATTGAAGATCTTTTGTTTGATAAATGGACGACTCATCATTGATACTTGCAGAACCTGCACCAACCGACCGAAGACCATCTTGCCTACGAGCTATTGGGCTTCCTCCAACCCCACTGCCATCACCTGGATTACTAGGCCATGATGGATCATGAGTACTAGGTGGAGTATTACCCCCCTTTCCTTTGCCTAGGTCACTAGATCTGGATGATGTGGATGATGATGGAGTTCCCGGCTGTCCTGGCGGCCGAGGTCTCTTCGGCGACATGTTCATGAGATCTAGTGGAACATACCCTGCACATGCGGATTGGTTTGGCGAAACATACGGTGATGTTGCATGGACCGATGCATGAGGGGTAATAAACGGCGACCCTGCTGGAAACTGGTTCTGAGTTCTGGCTGACTGGGATGACTGGGGTGGCAATGTTATATTGACTAGGCATGGCAAATTGTGATGAACTCTGCATCAAGGATTTCCTTTGTTGGTTATCCTCTTTCAGCTGCCGTACCTCATTTCTCAATACCGAAATGCAATCCATCAAGTCTGATTGATCCGTGCCATTTTGGGGAACGATTGGTGGACTTGATTGATGATGGACTATGGTCAACTGATGTTGCAATGACATGACCATTGCTTACATTTCTTGAAACCGATCCCTTTGTTCAGCCAATTCATTTTGTTGGGATTCCAACTTCTCAAGCAAAGTCTGGCTGTATTGTTCCGATTGCTGTAATTTCAAACCCAATTCTCCATGTGCTAAGTTTGCCAAATGGGGGATCCTAGAAATCTCTTCTTGGTGCTTCGCATTCAACTGTGCTACATGGGCTGAAGCTTCTGAGTGAATTTGCGATACCCTGTGTTCGGCACCCATCACACTAACCTCTGCAACCCTTTGAGCTTCTTGAGATTGATGATGGTATTGGGCAACCGCATTGTAAGCTTCTGCACGAACTTGGGATTCACGAGCATGTGCAACTGCAGGATTAACACCAACACTCAAAACGTTCAGCTGCTGTTGAGTGCGATGATCATTATAAGTCTGTTCGACATGTTCTGATCTTTGATCAAAATTGTCACCTTCCATTTGAACATCCATTTGTACATCCATGCGATTCATTGAAACAGATTTTGGAAATGATCCTAGTCCCCGATGAGATGCATCCCCGGTGGAACTACCCCATTGGACACCTGATGGTGGTAATGAGGCACGACTGGAACTGCTAGATGAGCGACTTGCAGGTTTACCAATCTTCCTAACACTAAGGGCTTTGCTCCTAGATGGTTCATCACAAATCTCGGGTGATGTGGACGAAACCTGAAGGGAAGTCTCGGGACTCTCTGTTCCTGGAACCATGGATGAGGATATCTCACTGAATTGTGGCATGTTATATGCTCTTTCAAGGTATGAACTCAACTTAGCAAAATGCCGGACCCTAAGAATTGTTTTACAAATCAAAGAGGGTTCAAAACCAAGAAACCAATGTTAATTATTTGTTGATGTGAGGATGCCCCCTGGTCAGCGCAAACACTCACTTTATAGCGCTCGATTTTCGAGTTTGCGATGTGATACTTAGGAAGACACTCGGATTCGACAAGCTTAGCAAGGACTCACAAGTGAAAATTCGGTGGAGGATACAAAGGATAAGCAGAATTACCGGCTCTCTTTGACACGGTACTTGGCACAGACGTCCTGGATCGCGTCCAAAATGTTCTGATACCAGCTCACTCCTGTCACAGCCCTCTGCGTCTTCCAATGCCTTGGAACCTTGATCCCAAAAATTCCCAACTGATTGTTGAACCCCGCAGTCAGGTCCCTCCACTCCTTCACAACGTCTGCGCTGTCGTCAAAGTGCACCAAGATGCAAGACTTGTCAGCAATCTGAGTCAAAGCTGAAAACTTGCCTTTTTCCGTGACCCGGTCCTCTGTTGTGATTGTATGTGCCACCAAAGGATGATTGATTGAAGCTACGCCCTTCCTGTAGTATTCAGAACAGCAATAACTGTTGATGACAATCAAGCACCCTGGAAACTGATCATGCAACTGTTGAAGTGAATCCTGAACCTCCGGCAAGATGCGATAAGTGTCAGTCCTTAGAGTCTCCTTTGGAAATCTCACTGTGTCCAACACCTGATGCCAATCCACCGAAAAGATCAATTGCTCTTAGTATTTGAACGTTGGAAGATTGCTGATGCGAAATCCCAAGTTCCTCACTTGCTGATGATTCACACGCACACCAGTGGGGGGATTCAAAGGTTCTGGTACCCCAACACCGCCTGTTGTTGTTGTTGTTGCTTGAGCGGCTGAAGTACGACGAACGGATGATGACACACCTGGAGTTGTTTTCGGCTTAGGTTGAAGAACAATTGCAGGCGGTACGCTTGAAGTTGCTTTCGGCTTCGATTGAAGAACAGATGAAGATGCACCTGACGAAGATACACGCGATGGTCCTCTCAAACGATCTGGAAGGTCAGGAACAACGGGAACGTATGGCTCTTGCACAACCTTTCCCTTCTTGATCTTTCCTTCCCGGACCAATCGATGAAAGATCTCGATGAAGCGTGGTTCAGAGAACGGACACTGAATTTCTGTCTCCGACTCCTCGTCACTGATGGCAACTGTCTCTGCAACAAACGAATCTTCCGAATAGTACCCAGAATTTTTGCCTTGAGAATCAGGAACAGGCTCAAGCCTCGCTAAAAGTGGCTGATCCCTTCGCGGAAGCTGATAGTCCTCAACCCGTTTCAATTGTTCCTCTGCTTGAAGCTTACGGCGTTCCAAGTACAAACTATGCGGATCGTAAGGGTCGTAATCTGGATGTTCAGTTTGGGCTGTCAACACACGGATGAAGTAAGTCAAGAGCTTAAGGCAGGCAGAACGATATCTTCTTTTGAAGCTAACACCCGACCTCTTCTCCTTTCTGATCTTACGAAACCGATTCTGCAACACCTCACGCTCTTCTGAACCAGATCTTGAACGTGCCCTTCTGTCCATGTACAGTAGCACCGCAAATCTTCAAGCAAGAAAGTGGTTGAGCTAAACCTTGTCTCGAACCACAAATGCCGTACAATTGGAAATGGACTTAGGTTCTCACCCTGCAATTGCTTAGCAAAACGGGGAGGTCACAGCAAAATGCCGACTAAGTTCCTTAGATGATATTAGGTCTTTGACTGACAAATCGATGCGATCGGGGTTTGACTGCGAATCAGGGACTCCGATCAATGCAAAGATTCACTAACGATTCGATTGAACTAAGGAGCACAACAAAGCCTACTGCAATGGGCTCAACAAAGTACTTAATATGGAAATTGGTTTCAACAACTGGGAGGATGCACCCTGGTCAGTGCAAACACTCCCGCACGAGTCCTTGTTCGATGGACACGAGCTTGCTGCAATGCACTAATCACCTGAATTGGCAAGAGGCTGGTGCAATTCGATACCGGCAGTTATCAAGGGTCAGGGAGAAGTGTGTTGGTGGATGTCTTACGAACACAAGGTGTGGCTCAGGACCTATGTGAGCGTAAGATTATCCGGATATATGAACTGAGGCTGTTAACCTGTTGAGTACGTATCCCACAACCTCCCAGGATAGCACCCAATGAACTGAAGCACAAAGCTGCTTGTTTTATCTTGAGCCAAAATATTCAGTCGCTTTACAAATTGAAGTACAGCAGTACAAAAGACAAGACACAACATGACAACATGGAGGGGTGTACAGTGCTATGTACATGTATATGTTTAGCTTTTTTTATCTGCTTTTTTTCTCCCTTTATGTATTCGTTTTCAATTAGGCAATTCATTTGTGAATACTAAAGTTGTTTTTTCCGTTTTTTTTTCTCCGTCTTTTTCCCTTTATGTATTCGTTTTCAATTAGGCAATTCATTTGTGAATACTAAAATGGAAAGAAAGCTCCCTTTTATGTATTCGTTTTCAATTAGGCAATTCATTTGTGAATGCTAAAATGAATAATAAAAAATCAACCCTTAACATCAAAATAATAATGAAATATCATGAATGTTTGCACTTCCCGAAATAAAGTATTCTGAAATATTGGTGCACCCTTGACATCAAAATAATGTGTCAGTTTGGACACCCCCTAAATGAAGTATTCTGAAATATTTGTGCACCCTTGACATCAAAATCCACCTGTGAAACAATTTCTTTCCTATTTGAACCCACTCTCAAACCCTTTCTGAAGCCCTCAAGACTCTTTGAGCTGGAAGCAGTAAACTCCAAACTCCAAATCTTGCATGAAAAGTTCTGGGGTTGAGAACAATCAACAAGGCTCAAATGGCCGATTTCCTTACTAAACCCCTTTTAAAAATGCAACAAAAAACAATCGTGCAAAGGGGGTGACCCTGAAGACCCCTGACACCAAAATAATAATGTATGTTTGCGCACCCCTAAATAAAGTATTTGGATTTCAGGGGCCTAATCAAAATTTTGATGGTTGAATACTAAAGTTCCAAGAAAGTTTACTTTATGTATTCGTTTTCAATTAGGCAATTCGTTTGTGAACACTAGAAGTTCCAAGAAAGTTCACTTCATGTATTCGTTTTCAATTAGGCAATTCATTTGTGAATACTAAAGTTCCAAGAAAGTTCACTTTACGTATTCGTTTTCAATTAGGCAATTCATTTGTGAATACTAAAGTTCCAAGAAAGTTCACTTTATGTATTCGTTTTCAATTAGGCAATTCATTTGTGAATTCTAAACTTCCAAGAAGGTTCACTTTATGTATTCGTTTTCAATTAGGCAATTCATTTGTGAATACTAAAGTTCCAAGAAAGTTCAGTTTATGTTTTTGTTTTCAATTAGGCAATTCAAGAAAGTTCACTATATGTATTCGTTTTCAGTTTGGCAATTCATTTGTGAATACTAAAGTTCCAAGAAAGTTCACTTTATGTATTCGTTTTCAATTAGGCAATTCATTTGTGAATACTAAAGTTCCAAGAAAGTTCACTTTATGTATTCGTTTTCAATTAGGCAATTCGTTTGTGAACACTAGAAGTTCCAAGAAAGTTCACTTCACGTATTCGTTTTCAATTAGGCAATTAATTTGTGAATACTATAGTTCCAAGAAAGTTCACTTTACGTATTCGTTTTCAATTAGGCAATTCATTTGTGAATACTAAGGTTCCAAGAAAGTTCACTTTATGGATTCGTTTTCAATTAGGCAATTCATTTGTGAATACTAAAGTTCCAAGAAAGTTCACTTTATGTATTCGTTTTCAATTAGGCAATTCATTTGTGAATACTCAAGTTCCAAGAAAGTTCACTTTATGTTTTCGTTTTCAATTAGGCAATTCATTTGTGAATACTGAAGTTCCAAGAAAGTTCACTTTATGTATTCGTTTTCAATTAGGCAATTCATTTGCGAATACTGAAGTTCCAAGAAAGTTCACTTTATGTATTCGTTTTCAATTAGGCAATTCATTTGTGAATTCTAAACTTCCAAGAAAGTTCACTTTATGTATTCGTTTTCAATTAGGCAATTCATTTGTGAATACTAAAGTTCCAAGAAAGTTCACTATATGTATTCGTTTTCAGTTTGGCAATTCATTTGTGAATACTAAAGTTCCAAGAAAGTTCACTTTATGTATTCGTTTTCAATTAGGCAATTCATTTGTGAATAGTAAAGTTCCAAGAAAGTTCACTTTATGTATTCGTTTTCAATTAGGCAATTCATTTGTGAATACTAAAGTTCCAAGAAAGTTCACTTTATGTATTCGTTTTCAATTAGGCAATTAATTTGTTAATGCTAAAGTTCCAAGAAAGTTCACTTTATGTATTCGTTTTCAATTAGGCAATTTGTTGGGCGCCACATAGGTCTGAAAATTTCCAGGAACCCGAATGTTTGGCCTAAACTTTTTTTGATGCTCTTAATGTTTGGGGGGGAGGGGGGTTATTAATACGATGTTGGCATTAAATTGAAATCAATTAAAAATAAATTGAAATCAATTAAAAGTAAATTGAAATCGATTAAAAGTAAATTGAAACCAGATGAAGATAAATTCAAATTAAATTGAAACCCTTACTTAAGTTGATTAATCAAAAAAATGTTGGGGGGGCAAAAAAAAGTGCGAGATATAGAGTATACTCAAATTGTTTGGGGGGGGCCCTCACACTAATCAGCTGCAAACATTATCATGTTTCTGCAAAAGAAATGGCAATGCGGACACCTGCCTTTTTCACTACGCACTTTGGGCCTGAATGCATCGGTGATTTTCACCAAATGTCCAACTGTTCATGTCATGTACTCTTCTCGATTTGTGCGTGTCATCCAACCTGTGAGCATGACTGTAAAATGTTTGCACTCCTCCTCAATTCTTTTGAGCTTCAGCTCGACAGATTGGAATTGAAACTTTCCCCATTTGGGATTTTCCACGCAAAACACTCCGGGTTCTGGGATTGCCCGGTATCCCTTCCATTGGACCATTGGGCAATTCTCTCACTGCCAAACCATCCACCAGAAAAAAACCTTGAATTCTTTCAAACAAGCAGCCTTTGAAAGTCATCTGCATAAAGTCGAAAAGTCGCAGCAAGCCCTTCTGAGCCTCGGTTGCGGGCCCTGCGATACAATCTCTGAAAGCAGTTTCTGCCCGTTGTCACCAGCTCCATATCCAAGCCAGTGTTTCGGCTGCATGCCGACAGTGTTGCCATCACTGCAGGCTGAAGTTCTGAGGCGTCCTCGAACCTCTCTGATGACAAGGCTTCGTTGATGAGCCTTCTCAAATTGCACAGCAGCCTTGCTAGCTGATCACCATCGGGTGGAACTGTATCAGCTTCACCTCCATCTCCCATCTCATCATCTGTATTTCCTTCCTCTTCTCCATCTTCCATTTCATGGTCACCTCCAGTTTCTGCTGACGCTGGAGGTGGGTTTCCTGCTGTTGAAGAACCTGGTCTGCCACCTGTTCCAGTTCCACCAGCTCTCGTTGTTTCATCTGTATCATCTGGGCTCCTCCTTCGCATGTCAAACAAAACTTGATTGGCTCTCTCTTGGGCCAACATTGACTGACGTTGTTGGGCAGTAAGTTCGCTGAAACGCACGAACCCTCCTATCTCCACCAAGCCGTAGTGAGTTGTTGTGATTAAGTCCTCTAAGACACTCCCCTCGATATTGTTTTGATGAACTTGTGCTCTAAGATCGTTGTCAACTCTTCTAACGTGTCTCTGAAGGTCTGACAACTGATCTCGGTGGCTTCCCAAAAGGGTATCTGTTTCAGCTTGCTGAACTTCATTCCAGTAGATTCTGCGGTCCAGTCGCTTCCAAAACCAAACTGCAATCCCTATGAAAACCAGCCAAGTCAAAAACAACGCTGCCACCAAGAAAAACATCCAAAAGCTGTCGTTTGATTGTTGTCTCTCCTCAGCATGGCACATCTCCTCCTGTGCAACTGCTTGTGTTGGCCCAAGGCCCATTAACAGTAACATAGTCACTTGGAGAATTGCCTTGCTGATCTTTGTAAGATCTTTTCCCAGTCTTGCCCGCTCGGTGATCTCGGCGTGTTCCAACTCGCCAACAGGTTCGTGGTTGTCGTCATAGATCATGCCAACCTCCCACATCAACGCCAGCAACCGTCTTTTGGCAAACGGTTTTGTCCCTATATCTCCAGAGTTAAAAGGTTGTTGGGATCTGAGTCATCTGCACCTCCTCGTTGTAGATCTTGTTTTGAACACACAAAATTTCCCCTGAGAGATGACCTGTCTCGACTCCAACTGCCGTGCCGAGCTGCTGTCAGTGTAGTGCACCTGAAGTATAGTGGCTCCTAAACGGAATTCCAAACAGCGTCTCGCAAAAATTGCAGCCGCCATAGCAGCAACTATACTGTGAAGTTCGGATTCGCAGGAGCTCAAGGAGATTACCCTTTGAGTTTGAGAGCTTGCGTACAAGAAGTTGTTGTTGAGGTAATGCGCTCCACAGGATGTGGATTTTCGATGAGACTTGTTGCCAGCACAATCCGCATCTGAGTAGCTCTCAAGTATCCAGG